ATAGAAAGTGAAAGTGAATATATATATATATGTATATATATATATATATATATATATCTACATATATATCTCTATATATATATATATATATATATATATATATATATATATATATATATATATATATATATATATAAGGGAGTTGTCAGCAAAAAGGAAAGGAATATAACTATGGATGTTTTAATAAATTCAGAATTTGGCTATAGGTTAGAGAAAAGTTGTTTTTGTCAGCTTTAAGATTCACTGTCTTTGGTTGAAGCTGGATGTGGAGGGTTTCAGAAATGAGTCGTTTGTCATGGTTGAGAACAGTGGCAAGGATGGATGTTTTGTCGAAGTCAAATGAATGATTGAGGGAGAGAGAATGTTCGGATAATTTGGAAGCGGTGAAATTACGAGAGGATACAGAATATTTATGTTGGGCTATGCGGTCTTTTAGGAGATTTTTGGTTTCACCAATATAGGATGAAAAACAATTGGGGGTAGAACATGGAATACGGTAAACGATATGAGAGCGGTGTGAGAGAGGAAGAGGATCTTTTAGGGATGTGTATAATTTCGAGAGAGTGTTGTGAGATTTGAATGCAAGTCGTAAGTTAGGGTTAGTGGATCGTAAAACTTTGTTGATGTTGTCTGAAAGGTTAGGAATATAAGGTAGAGATCTGTATATAGGGGCTGAAATGGGTTGTGGAGAATTAGAGAAAGTTGAGATTAAGGAAGAGCGATTATTGTGGTCCGTTATAAGTTTGTTAATGACATGGAGAGGAAAATTATTGTTTGACAGGATCTGTTTTATGCGTTTGGTATTGGTAACATGAAATTGGGGATCAGAGAGGGAGAGACTACGGTGGATGAGGTTTTTCGCAACGTTAATTTTTTGGTGGTAGGGATGTTTGGAATGGAAATTTAGGAGTCTGCCAGTGTAAGTTGGTTTGGTGTACCAGTCTGTGGATATGGTGTTATTGGGATTTTTAATGATTAGAAGGTCGAGAAAAGGGAGAGAATTATTGAGTTCGCGTTGTACTGTAAAATTGAGGCGGGGGTGGTAAGAGTTAAAATGTGATAGAATATCAGGAATTTTGTTTGGATTGATGATTAGGAGGAGGTCGTCTACGTATTTCCGAATAAAGATGATGTCGTCAGGGTAAAGAGGGATAATGGTGTCTAGAAGATCATTGAGAACGATGTTCGAGATGTCGGGAGCGAGGGGGTTACCCATTGCTAGTCCAGAGATTTGGTTAAAAAATTGTCCTTGGAAAGTGAGGTAGCCTGATTTACAGCATAGATGAAGGGATTCGAGACCTCCACCCAACCTCATACATCTTTTTCCTTATTGAAGTCTACCTACCCTCATCTTAAATCGCGCATCAACAACCTGTGTCACCTTCATCAACGTCTTGCTAATAGCACCCAACATCGTATATTTCTTCTCAAATGCCGTTCTTATTCCATATTTCCTAAATTCATAGAAAATTCTTTTAACCGCTTTTCAATATCACCTCCGTTCAACTCTAAATTATTAAATTCCTCCTTTAAATTTAAAAAATCTTTGCTTAACCTAAAAATTCGTGAAACCATTCAAAATATTAATTTTCTCCATAAGCAAATTTCTGTTCTCACCCAATTTTTTGTTCATAACATCACCCAAGAAGACGTTAATAATCTCTCCCTTTGCATTTCCAATATCTTTAATTCCACTAAAGCACAGAAGAAACTTATATTAATTTCCAAGTTTAATAATTTGTACCAGGCCACTCTCAAAACCAAGGTTTATCCTGCAGGAAAAGAAGAATGGGTGGACAATATTTCCTCCACTGACATCCCTTCCAAAGTCACTAATTTTTTAAGTTTAGGACCTAATTTTTCCACACCCAACACTTCTGTCAAAATCATTCCACAACTTATCACTGATCTCGAATATATTTACGCAGACGACTTTTTCACCACTTCAAAAGAAAATAAGGAGTTGTCACGCGCTTCCATCTGTAACATTATTTCCAATTATCTCTTACACCCACCGCTCTCCTCTTCTTCTTTTTCTCCTGAATTTTTCAAAGACCTCTCTTTTACCCGATCCTTCTTAAAATCCCACGATAATATAATCATAACCAAAGCTGATAAAGGCAACAAAACTGTAATTATGGACCGTACAGAATACACTGACAAAATGACTTTACTCCTATCAGACCGTTCCACTTACTCTCCCACATCCCGTGATCCTACCTCATCATTAAAAACCAAATTTAACCTACACCTAAAAAATCTTCTAAATTCAAAACTCATAAACTATCCTACTTACAGAAACCTTATCTCCTACAATTCAGTTGCTCCCCGTTTTTATGGACTTCCTAAAATCCACAAACCCGGCACCCCACTCCGTCCGATCACTTCCAACATTAATTCTCCTTCTGTTAAACTTAGCAAATTCTTACTACCTTCCCTACAAATCTTCAGCCACAACAACCCTTATGATATACAAAACTCATTCCATCTCCGTGAACAGCTACTCTCCTTTACCATTCCAGACAATTTTATTCTCTGCTCCTTCGATGTTGAAAGTTTATTTACGAACATACCCATAGACAAGGCACTTACTATAATAGACGACAATTGGACCATCATTGAACCTCACACCTCACTTAACCGCTCCTCATATCTCGAATCCCTTCATCTATGCTGTAAATCAGGCTACCTCACTTTCCAAGGACAATTTTTTAACCAAATCTCTGGACTAGCAATGGGTAACCCCCTCGCTCCCGACATCTCGAACATCGTTCTCAATGATCTTCTAGACACCATTATCCCTCTTTACCCTGACGACATCATCTTTATTCGGAAATACGTAGACGACCTCCTCCTAATCATCAATCCAAACAAAATTCCTGATATTCTATCACATTTTAACTCTTACCACCCCCGCCTCAATTTTACAGTACAACGCGAACTCAATAATTCTCTCCCTTTTCTCGACCTTCTAATCATTAAAAATCCCAATAACACCATATCCACAGACTGGTACACCAAACCAACTTACACTGGCAGACTCCTAAATTTCCATTCCAAACATCCCTACCACCAAAAAATTAACGTTGCGAAAAACCTCATCCACCGTAGTCTCTCCCTCTCTGATCCCCAATTTCATGTTACCAATACCAAACGCATAAAACAGATCCTGTCAAACAATAATTTTCCTCTCCATGTCATTAACAAACTTATAACGGACCACAATAATCGCTCTTCCTTAATCTCAACTTTCTCTAATTCTCCACAACCCATTTCAGCCCCTATATACAGATCTCTACCTTATATTCCTAACCTTTCAGACAACATCAACAAAGTTTTACGATCCACTAACCCTAACTTACGACTTGCATTCAAATCTCACAACACTCTCTCGAAATTATACACATCCCTAAAAGATCCTCTTCCTCTCTCACACCGCTCTCATATCGTTTACCGTATTCCATGTTCTACCCCCAATTGTTTTTCATCCTATATTGGTGAAACCAAAAATCTCCTAAAAGACCGCATAACCCAACATAAATATTCTGTATCCTCTCGTAATTTCACCGCTTCCAAATTATCCGAACATTCTCTCTCCCTCAATCATTCATTTGACTTCGACAAAACATCCATCCTTGCCACTGTTCTCAACCATGACAAACGACTCATTTCTGAAACCCTCCACATCCAGCTTCAACCAAAGACAGTGAATCTTAAAGCTGACAAAAACAACTTTTCTCTAACCTATAGCCAAATTCTGAATTTATTAAAACATCCATAGTTATATTCCTTTCCTTTTTGCTGACAACTCCCTTATATATATATATATATATATAATATATATATATATATATATATATATATATATATATATATATATATATATATATATATATATATATATATATATATATATATATATATACATATATATATATATATTCACTTTCACTTTCTATTAACTTTCGTTCAATATTCCATAATTTTTCTACATAATATATCTCTCGTAACTATTTAGGCTTCTACTAGCATTCTTCTAGTTCTAGCTTCGTCCGATAACCGTTACAGATGACGCCACCTCCACATCCCTTCTCTCTCCACCTTCTTTGTAACGACTTCATTCTCACTTTGACATTTTAGGAGAAAGGTACTACTTCTTTTATTTCTTTCTTATTTCAGCTTTCTCAATTTCTTCCCTCCTTCCTTTCATTCCTTTTCTCTGTTGTTAACTCTCTATTATATTATACATTGTCTGTACATCTTGATAGACTTTACAATATCTCAATTTTCTATCAAACTACTCCATTCTCAATGTTTTCTTTTTACTATTTATTTTATTCTCATTTCTTATATAACTTTATATTTCTTTTTTATGTTTTTACATTTTATTCTAAGATTCCCAATGTAACACTTTTGTCACCCCCTTTTTGATTATGCCTACTTCATCATTCCACGCTATGTAACAGTCTGTATTATTTATCTCTTAGTTCTTAGTCATTATTCTAACAATTTTATTTTACTTTATATCTATCTATTTTATTTTTCTTTTATCTAGATCTATTTTATCTAGATCTAATCTATTTTATTTTCTCATTTTTTTTTGTTATTATCTTTTTTACCATCATTACTTAAGTTTCTCATACCTTGTTATCTGGTTATTTTCTTAGCCCTGATGATGGCCTGAACTTCAGGTCGAAACGTCGGCAGATGTAAAAAATAAATATTATAATTTATTTTTGCCTTCCTTTTTTGACTGAGCACCCCAACTATTCTTCTCTTCAAGATTAATTTAGTTTTTAAGGAAGGAGATAGCAAAGGAGATTCGGATGAAACTATGATATCGGAATAGTTGAATTTCGTTGAAAAGAAGTGGAAAATATTGAATCCAAGATATGTTTGGGAGTCGGGTGTCTTGTCTTTGGGTATAATTCATGGCCGTGAGATATAAAAAATATATCCTTATAGTTTATAAAAAAAAATAAAATATGAATTGATTTAACCTTATCTGCATGTGGAGCGTCTAGAGAGAAGTCTTCACTCTTCCAATGTTTAATACTGATTTGGTGGTATAGAAGAAGAACTTCCTTGTATTCCCATTCATAACATAATCATCATATCAAAGACCGACATTTTTAATTTTCATAAGGAGAATAAAAGGTCAATTTTTATTATATAATTTTAACTCTTTCTGATGATTTCATTGAAAAATGTTCAAGTTGAATCATGAAAAAAAAAATCATTAGAATTGGTTAATATTGAAGTTATGTTACAGAACATTGGACGTTTCTCAACTTTTTAAAAATTAAAGATGTCTTTGGCCACTCATATGTTTTATTTCGTCATATTTTATTATAATTATGTTTTGTTTTATTAATACTATAACTATCATATGTTTTTTTACATACCTCTAATCATAGTCCAGTCAAACTAGCAAAAAAAATGGGTGTAGCTTGCAAAAGGTCGGATAATTCAAATTTCTTCTTTATATTGTTAGGTATGTAGTGGCTATAAAAATTCCAAATTTCCGCCCTTGAAAGCCTAGTGGGTTCATTGGAGTGTTCCAATGAAAAATTCGAATTTCGAAAAAATTTCGAGATTTTTTGGTTTATGCTAAATATCTTCTTTTTAATGTAACATAGATAAATAGAAACGGTTAAAATTTATCAATAATAGCTGACAGGTTTGTTAAACATTGCCTATCAGACGGTTATAGAAATAATAAGTATCAATAAGTAATAGGCAGTTCTTACTGTATTATCCGCTCTTTATTTCTTAATTCACATTAAATAATAATAACCAAACTTATCCGTTAAGTTTATTGAAAATATTGTTGTCCAAGACTCGTCTTGGTCTTAGGCATTCAGTCTTGATCTTGATCATGGTCTTGCGCAAGATTCTTGCCTATCAGCTTATTACTAGAAAGATATTACTGTAATTTTTCAGGTAGCAGAAACCTTGCTAAGCCCAAATGAAAAATTGGTCAAAGTCACAAGACGATTTTTACCAGTCTCAGTCTTGATCTTGGTCTTGCAAAGTTCAAGACCAAGACCGATTTTGGGCAACACTAATTATAAAATAAAAGACCGACTTTCAAATTTCCTTTACGAATCAAAATTGAAAATTAATTTTTATAGTGAAGCGTAAAAAAACAAATATAAATAAATAAAAGTGTACCACTATAACCCATTTATCGGGTTCATTACTATATTGGGGAGTACCGCTTCTTGGTCAATGGCTGTGTAAGGAGGTGGTTTGGCTGAGATCACGCTTAACCGCCAGGTTTTCTCCCTTAATTATTAATTAAGAGTACCCATCAGTGTGCCCCAAGAGGGTTTCCCGACCCCTGGGTCGATCCACGGCCGATGAAACAGAATAAATAATTTATCTACCATCAGCCGGATTCGAACATGGGACCTGGAGCTCTGGAAGTTCCCAACTCACTGAGTAACCTCGTTTCCAGGGATCTGTTAAACAGCTTAATAATTTCTTCATTACTACATATTCACAAAAAAAAAAAAAAAAAAAAAAAAAGCTACTGGGTCAAGATTTCAGAACTTACGAGTTTGAGGGTGAATTTTTTTTGTAATTGTTTGCTTGTACTGAAGTGCATGAAATGTACATGAGTTCTCATAATATTGTTTTATTTTAAAGATTTAAGATTTTCTGTTTATCCATGAGATTATACGATGGACCATATATGATAACATTACTACGGTTCATCAATAAATGAACTATAGATATAGAAGAAATTAAAGATTAACAAAAGTTTGTATCTTAAACCTATTTATGCAATAGTAGCATAAATAAATAAATCTTTGGGTAGAATTCGTTTTAAATACTTAAATTGTTTAGTTACGAACGGCCTAATTTTGGACCACTGTTAGAAGAATTAATGGTAGGTAATTATTATTTTTTATTTTTTTAGGCACCCAAAAATCATTATAACCTAAATTCTGTAATGGATAATTTGCAGTCATCGGATTGGAGTACAAATAGGATCCAGGTACATTTTATAAATTTCCTATACTGAAACTAGATTAATTGAATGGAAGAAATTGCTCAAATGAATTAAGAATAAGTATAATCCTAACCCACTTCAGCAATTTCTTTATTATTCTTGATAAATAACGGTTTAAGAAATCATTGATGATTATTTTTTTTCAACCTTTCTTAAATTTCTGATAATCTGGATGGTAAAGACTGTTGAGGGGTAAATAGAGATAAATCCAAAAAAAATTATCTTGATAAAAAACTTTGTTTTTATAAAGATATTGATATATTTTACTTCATTGAATAGTTTGACTAATTTGTTAAAAAATATTTAAGTGTACTGTATTAAAAACTTAATAATATATTGTTTATATTAAGAAACAAAATATATTTGGTTAAAACCTGCAACAAGGAGGGCTAGAGTCAATGGGTTAAAGATTCCAATCAATTTTTTTTTCGAAGATAGAACATCAAAAATATTGGGCATATATCCCGTTCATTTCAAAGGGCACTAGAAGTTATTTATTTTTTCCTTTGCTTAGTCCGGATTTTTAGATTACTAAATACCAATAGATTTATTTTTTTGTGTAGAAAAATAAAAAAAAACATAGACTATCGTGTTAAATGAGTTATAATATATCTTAAATTACAAAACCCAAAAGGAGCTTCCAGTAAATTTTTGTTATGAAAAATCGTTAGATTCGTGTTTAAGGCCCTTCACAATTATTAAAGAAGAATTCTTATATAAATAAAAAAAATACAACCTTTACAACTTAATTTTCTTGCATTGTTTTTTTTCTGGACGTCAACTAATATGTATTCATAACTCCTCAGGATTTTCCTCAAATTCGAATTTAACATAACCGTTGAAAGGCTTTATTAACTCTTCCAACCGATATCAATAATTTTCGAATTTCATTTATTTTTAAGCTAGAGATTAAGAAACACTTCTAACCTATTTTTATTTTTTTCCGTAAGTTGGGATAACTTTGGGACAGCGGTTAAAATTTAGTTTGTGTTGATTCCGTGGTGGATACACTGTGTTGGTTCAGTCAGCATGGACAGGGCATGAAATGCGCTACTACCTTGCGGCACACTACTCTGAGGCACAAGCGAAAGTTTCATAAAAACAAGGATGTAGAAAAAAGCAATGTAAATAAATAAAACCTAACTGCACAACGAGTGTAGTGAACTAGGGTCCTCAAACTGCCGCAAGGTAGTAGTACAGTACATATCTTCACTAAGCACATTTTTGCAGACTGAACCAACACAGTATATCTCTATATCTGTTTGCTATTCACATTAATGACCTAGCTCTCATGATCCAGCACTCCCAGTAACATATTGGACACAAGATTTGCAAATATACCTGCCTTTCCCGCCCATCGACCTATTATGGGCCACAAAAAAACTTCAAGAAGACCTGGATGGGATTTGTGACTATGCTTTATCCTTCCTACCGTCGTATTTCCTAGCAGCCTTCGTCTTTCAAGTCATCCAATCTCGCTATCCTTCATACATCTCTGAGCTCCTTCAATTCAAATCCTCTGTTCGTTCCCGCAATACTCGTTCCCGGTCTTCAGATTTATACACAAGGGCCCACCGAACCGTTGCTTTCGACAGATCGTTTATTATAAGATCATCCCCTTGAAACTTCATCCCCTGCCCCATCCGTCAATCCATTAGCCTTCCTATCTTTAAATCCCGCCTGTTCAATCATTTCTTATCCACCCAGTCCCCATAAAATTGTAAATAGATACCATTGTAAATATGTATATAAATTATTGATCGTTCTTCATTTTTCTTAATTCAATTTTTCTTTTTTATTAATAACTGATTAAAATTAGAAAGTAAATTATATATTTTTTTTATTATGACTATTTAATTATTCTGTATTTTTGTTTATATATCTCTGAAGCTCCTTCGCCCACATTTCTGTCTTGTTTTATTATTCTAAAGGGACTCACCACAGAATAAATAAAGTATTATTATTATCATATCAACTACGGGATCACCACAAACTAAATTTTATCCACTGTCCTGAAGTTATCCCATCTTAGGGTATATCTTTAGTTCTAATTTGTTCACGATGGTCGGATTTATACCATTACGTGTAGCATACAGACAGAGGTGTAAAACCGCAATAATTTTCGTGTGGATCGGTCGAGTCGTTCTAATGTCATCACAATTTTAGATGTCGTCGACAAAATTCCGTAGGATCCAGTCTAGGCAAAATTTTCGTGAAGAAAATTTTAATTTTTGGATTGCTATAAAAAATTATATTAAAGGATTTTTTTGGGCTGCCAAAAAATAATATTAACTTGGTTTCTCCCTAAGAAAAATATTTACTCTAGATACCAGACCAGTTTTGAATAAATATTATATTTAGCAGATGGCCAATATGAGCACAATTGGGTCTAACCGATGTTGGTGCGACGATGGATGTTTGGACCAATGTGGGAATAAATATCTATTTTTTAAATATGCCTTTAAACAATTAGAACTAAAGATATTAAATAAAAATGGTTTAGAAGTTTTTCTTAATTTCTATAGATTAAAAGTAAACGAGATCCAAAAGTTATCGATGTCAGTTTAAAGAACAGTAACCCAGCTTCCCAATAGTCCGAGATAAAGACCAATTTTTACCAAATTATTAACATCCGCCTAAAACTTCGTAAATGGCTTTATCTTAATCTAACCTACAAATTTTTTGTATAAGAAAATTCTCAGAAATCTCTCATTAAATTTATTTATTTATTTAGCTACTAAAATTTCATAAATACCCATTTTCTTTTCATTTGAATCGTAATTTAATTTTATAATTTGGCTTATGTAACCTCGTTATTTCGATATACTTTTTTTTTCGATTTAGTGATCATATCATCTTAGATTCAAGTGGAAAGCAAATGAGTATTCATGCATTTTTTTAACCTAATTAAAACGACCAAATTTGCGATCTCCAGACTGAAAACGTCCCAATTCGAAGGATTTTCGTAAATAAAAGATTTGTAGGTGACGATAAGTTGAAGCTATTAACGAAGTTTTAGACGGATGTTAATAATTTGATAAATAGGGAACTGTACCACGGGCTATTAGCTGCTTATATAAATAAGAGGTTAATTTTTCTCAAACTAATATAAATATACTTCTCTGAAAAAATTACCTAATCATTACAACAGAAGGCATAGACCGTTAGTTAAGTTATCAATGTTGTACCATCCGTACATATATTATTACAGTAAGGCTCAAAATCGGTTTTGTACCAAATATAAGCTCCTGTCATGCTCAAATACCACGAATGGGGTACCGTTGGATTCAGAATTTCACGGGGATA